TATATTGTTTATAAGTCACACAATTTATTTAATTACCATTATTAGGCTGATATTTTGATTATCAGGCGCCTGTCCCAAATGTAGCTACAAATTATACCAGGAGTACAGTTGCAATTAACGATGTATATACAATATCTCGATTTCAATACCTAAATTAACTATATAGACGGTTTAAATAAGACACTAATATCAGAATAAAATAATATAGAATAGTAATATCAGAATGAAATAATATGGAATAAATAACAAAGCAAAACAAACAAAAAAATAATATAGAATAAATAACTAAACATATAACAGTGCAGCAGTGAAATAAAGAGGATACACGATTTAAATAAGAGGATAAAATGAGAATAAAATAATATAGAATAATAATATCAGAATTAAATAATATAAAATAAATAACAAAGTTTATTAAACAGTGCAGACGTGAAATAAAGTACATACACGATTTAAATAAGACGCTAATATCAGAATTAGATAATATAGTGTAAGATAATATAGAATAATAATATCAGAATAAGATAATAAAGACTAGTAATATAGAATAAATAACAAGGTTTATTTAACAGTGCAAAAGACATCTTAACCGTCAGGTCACTGAGCATGTACAGGAGATGCCGCTAGAAAGGGAAGGTGTCATGGCGGACTGAACTGCGGACAAAAAAAGGAGAACCTGCTCCTAGAACAAAAAAAAAAATACAAAACCTGCTCCCTGAATTGCTTTCCCCTTCCCAGGGCACACACTCACAGGAATCAATGAGTTTTTGTCCAAATATCGATGGAGTTTTTGGGCTTTTTGCGTTCTACTAAACCAGTTAGGACCGAAAAAAGGCCGTTTATTAATGGCACGTCCGCTCTTTGGTTAAGAAAATGTGTCAGTTTTTTTGGACAACATAACATGATTTTACTAATTTTTAGCGCATTTTCTCATTTATGGAAAAAATGCACTATTGTGCTCGCCATGTCCTGTCTCTTATACACATCTAGATGTGTATAAGAGACAGNTCCGTGGCAAGTCACAGGCAGGAGTGTCATGCTATCCTCCGTGGCAAGTCACAGGCAGGAGTGTCATGCTATCCTCCGTGGCAAGTCACAGGCAGGAGTGTCATGCTATCCTCCGTGGCAAGTCACAGGCAGGAGTGTCATGCTATCCTCCGTGGCAAGTCACAGGCAGGAGTGTCATGCTATCCTCCGTGGCAAGTCACAGGCAGGAGTGTCATGCTATCCTCCGTGGCAAGTCACAGGCAGGAGTGTCATGCTATCCTCCGTGGCAAGTCACAGGCAGGAGTGTCATGCTATCCTCCGTGGCAAGTCACAGGCAGGAGTGTCATGCTATCCTCCGTGGCAAGTCACAGGCAGGAGTGTCATGCTATCCTCCGTGGCAAGTCACAGGCAGGAGTGTCATGCTATCCTCCGTGGCAAGTCACAGGCAGGAGTGTCATGCTATCCTCCGTGGCAAGTCACAGGCAGGAGTGTCATGCTATCCTCCGTGGCAAGTCACAGGCAGGAGTGTCATGCTATCCTCCGTGGCAAGTCACAGGCAGGAGTGTCACGCTATCCTTCATGGCAAGTCACAGGCAGGAGTGTCATGCTATCCTTCATGGCAAGTCAGAGGCAGGAGTGTCATACTATCCTCCGTAGCAAGTCACAGGCAGGGTGTCATGCTATTCTTCGCATATCTTACTTATCAGTCTCATATCTTTATTTATCGATGTTTTAATTACTTTATCTTGCTTTTATCTTGATTATCGGGCGCCTGTCACAAATGTACGAACTGTAACAGAAGTTAACAATGTATATACAATATACAATAATAAAATAAAATAAATTATAAAGTTTATTTTTGAATAAAATACGAATAATAGAACTAAATAATGTAGAATAATATAGAATAAATAACAAGGTTTCTTTAACAGTATGAAGACACTTAGAAACACCTTGTATAAGTGTGTCGTGTGAAGACACTTAGAAACACCTTGTAAGTGTGCCAGAACACTTAGCGTTAGAAAGAATGACTTGGCAGATCTCGGGAACCTCTATTTAATGTCGGGGATCGTGGAGACTGGCGGTGAGATTTATGGCTTGATAGTGAAGGATATTTACGGGAGGATATTTACGGGAGGATTAATGAAGGGCATTACGAACGTAATACCCTCCATAAAACGTAAGGATATTATGACGCAATACGAAAGTGGTTTTGAGACGTCGAATAGCGTAATTCGGATGATTGTTTTTGGAAGATTAAACGTCAGCCACCTGACATACGACATCTTGATGAAATAATTTTTAGTTGTTTGTTTTTGTGTCATTTGAGAAGCAATAATTTCATATCTATGTCCTTTTCAAATTTAATTACATCATGAGAAATATATATCCCCCCTCAAGGGGAACATTCGTCACCAGATGTCTATAATATACAAGGTGATTCACGGAAACTTCCTGATTTGAAAGCTCAATAAATAAAGAACTAGTAGAGATATCATTAATTTTATTGAAAAAGACATTACCTGCATTGTTTTACCATTTTGTTTCAAAGAAGGCATCAGGCAAATGACGGCCCACATTGTCAATGAATTTAGTTGATCGATTTTTGAAGTTGCGTTCAACTAACTGAAACATTGACGGGATATGTTGGCGATGGCTTAGCGTATGTTGTTCTTCAAATGAGGTAGGGTCTTTGGACAGTCATTGTAAACAATTGATTTAAGATAACCCCATAAAAGATCACACGGAGCCAAATAAATGTGTTCACCCACGTAACAATCGATTTCCCGATCAGTGAACCGACCTGAAGGATGAATACGGAACCGAGTACGAAATGCTCGTTGAGTAGCGATAATGGAACGGCCAATAGAAAGTACGCTTCGACAGCAAACGCATGTTGCTCACTTGTCCAATGCACAGTGGCATATGACTAAGTGGGACACAAAACTTCATGACTTTACCTTTCATATAAAATGCTCTCCGTTCTTTTGCTACAACATGTGGCTGCTTGGCGCGAAATAAAAAACAGGAAGTTTTCGTGAATCTCCCTGTATGTGTCATTCACAAGGAACATCAGGCAAACAGCTAAGATATTACATGGTATATTCTGTTATAAACAGGATTGTTATAAAGTGCAGATAAGTAAACAATAAAGTAACGAAAAAATATACTGTTTTCACAGACTAGAAAATTATACTGTCCTTTTTATTCATGTTATTAGGAACTTCAGATTAAAATTGCTATTCTATGGTATAGGTTGAGAAGCAGTTAGAAGATACTGTTGTACAAAGATTTACATTGAATTTCTTGTGTACAAATTTTGTTCAACTTGCACATTTGTCAGTTTTGCACTTGTTTTTGTTTTATTCTAAAACAATAAAAAGAAAACTCCAATTTGGTAAAAATAGGCGCTTGGAGGTTGAACTTTGGATTTTTGGCCTTCCACATTTCGCCTGTGGTGCTTTACATTTCTTTGTAGTAGTGCAATAGAAACCGATATTTTGAATTGTGCTAAGGATAGAATATTTTTTCATTGAATATTCAGGTCTTTAATGAAATTTTTTTTCCTTAATCGGGGATTTTTTCAGGGCAAATAACATTAACTTCTTCTTATCGTAGCTCATGAAGAGATATCACATGATAAAATAATCACATATCTCTTGAAAAGATATGATATGATATACCTATCATATTTTTATCATATCTCATGCAAAATTAGACTCAATAATGACATCGTGTTCTCATGACACTTTACGTGACAATTCCGCAATTAGTCTGCGGGCAAACGAGCTCTATACTTCTTCTCCCGTTCTTTATCAGTTTTTTTGCCTTTCATAATCTTTTTTTGCCTTCCAGAGTCTTTTTCCCTTTCACAAAAATTTTTTTTGCCTATCAGAACCCTATCTTGCTTTACAGAAATATTTTTTGCCTTTCAAAACCATTTTTTGCTTTTCAAAACCCTTTGTTTAACTTTTAGAAGTCTTTTTTACCTTTCTAAACCAATTTTTTTTCCTTTCAGAACCATTTTTTGTCTTTCAGAACCGTTTTTTTGCTTTTCAGGACCGTTTTTCGAATTTCAATACACCTGGTGGTCATGGAATTTTCATAGGGCCGCCAGACCAAACTCCATTGCTCACCATTGCTATCGTCCATATTCCGTTCAAGATGATAAATCGGAGCAATATTGTCACGCGCCTACTTCCCAAAAAGGATACGTTCTAGTGAGCGCAAAATGACTTGCCTGATGGTTGCCGCCGCGTACGACTACTTTAAAATGTTCTCTGTTGCGTACAAATGTCCTAAGCTTGCTACACTCAAAAGTTTACGAATAATTTGCCGCCACGTACGACTACTTTAAAATGTTCTCTGTTGCGTACAAACGTCCTCAGGTTGCTATGTTCCCGAAGAGTGACACTTGGCAGTAGGGGAGTAACTCGGAAGATTGTTTTCGAATGGCTGCTTTCCTAACTTATGACTTTGTTTTCAAACGTCTAGTGCCGTAACTTGGAACAAGTTTTTTCAACGTCTAGTAGGTAACTCGGTTGAAAATTTTCAATCGTCTTTATGCGTAACGCGAAAGCTTGTATTTTGAACGTCAAGTTGAGTAACCCGGATTAAAGTTTTCAAACGTCTAGTTGCGTAACTCGGAAGGTGGTTTTTCAAAATTCTAGCTGAGTAACTTGGAAGGAAGTTCTCAAGCGTCTAGTTGCTTAAATCGGAAGTTTATTTTCAAACGTCAAGCTGCGTAATTCGGAAGGTTATTTTCGAACGGGTAGTGATGCAAGTCGGATGGATGCTTTCAAACGTTTGTTGGTGTAACTCAGAGTAGCTTTTTCGAAAGTCCAGTTGCGTAACTCGGATTTAGTTTACAAACGACTAGTTGCTTAACTCGGAAGGTTTTTTCAAGCTTCTATTGGCGTAAGTCGGACAGACTTAGTGGGTTAGACTCGTCTCAGTGTTTTGTCCATGTATAGTCCGTCCTTATGATTTGGAAAAAAATACAATTCGTGTGTAAAAATAGAGTTTATCAAACAATCTTCTAATGGTAGTAACATTTAGGTATCACAAACATAAATTTAGAGTGGAACTTGTCCTAATAAATTCGATTTGGTCGCTCGATGGAACCCTAGAGGGAATCGATGGTTTGGTAGCGGCAACACCTCTTGCCTCCTGCCTCCTTCTGGCTGTCGAGTGGATGCACTAGATCTGGTATCCTGCAAGCTGTGTTGGATGTATCCAACTATCCATCCGGTTTAGGGTTGGCAGTAGAACTATCCACCAGTTCCACACTTCGTTTTCTGATATTGTGAAGATCCAATGGCTTTGCCAGCTTTTAGGAAGTTGAAATGAGTGTATCCACAAGATTTGACCCTTACAATGGGGATGAATATTGCTGAGACGGCGCAGAAACTCCTCCACCGCTGATAAATCCGGCACCACCGCTGACAAATCCACTTCCACCACCAGAGAAGCTGCCTAATCCACCGGATAGTCCAGCGTCGCCACCAAATCCAGCACCGTGACCAGCACCAGCACCGGCACCACCGTCGATGATCTGCCCCTGCTGGGCGGACTGGCTGAGCGCCTGCTGGAGGTCGATGCCTCCTGGCAGTTGCGGGTTCTCGCCTTCGCCGTAGTTGACGAAGTAGACTTCGGGTTGCGTGGGGGTGGACGGCACCTCAATGACCTCCTGGTCCAGGGCACCAGGGCGTCTCGTCAGCACGTACACGAGTGTCTTCTGCTCAGGAGGTGGCACCACAACTGGGCGGGAGCCTCCGATGATCTCGGGTGTCCTCACGAACACGAAGTTGTAGTGGACCTTGGGGTCAGGGAGGTTGGGGGCTGGACCCACTCTGACTTGCTGTGGGGGAGGCGCCGCGTACAGGAAAATGTTGCGGGTGATTTGTGCTCGGGCACAGGACCCGTCGGCCTTCCGGGCCTGACCTTCGGGACATCCGCCGCCGATAGCGAGGCCGCCGCCGGAGGAGAAACCACCGCCGGAAGAAAACCCGCCACCGGAGGAGAACCCGCCGCCTGAGGAGAACCCACCGCCGGAAGAGAACCCACCACCGCCTGGAAGGGGTGCGGTGTAGCCCTGGGGTTTCGCCTGGGTTGTCACCAGGACAACGGCGATGACCGCAACCCACCGCCGGAGGAGAACCCGCCACCGGATGAGAACCCACCACCACCGGAGGAGAACCCGCCGCCGGAGGAGAACCCACCACCGCCAGGAAGGGGTGCGGTGTAGCCCTGGGGTTTCGCCTGGGTTGTCACCAGGACAACGGCGATGACCGCCAACTGATGGGGGAAGAGGTGCACAAAATTATAATAATCATAAGTCAGTACATATTGATTTATTTACAAGGTTCCTATCCAGTCCAAATAGTTGATATCCACCTGAAGTCGCATAAATGAGACCTCTTTCAGTTGTAGATAAATTTCATGTGTTTCTCAAGTCCCAAATCAACTCGATCAGCTGAATATCCTTCTGTATTTTCAACATTTAATCGGCATTATAAATTCTATTCCTACTAAAAAAATTTCATCCATTCATTTGTTGTGGAATGAGCGAAAGGTGACTAGGCAATCCAAACCATCAAGTAAAGCTGAATGAAGCAATCGGTTTAATCTCACCCATCAATTTAATTAGTTCAATATCGAACAAAGAAATAACTACCAGTGCGAATTCTTCGGCCACCGAACTTAACTTTATTTCAGAGTACCACTAGTTCTTATAAAATGCTATTTCCATTAGAACCTGAACAATATCACACAGCTCGTGAAAATACAGACGTTCTAATGAGCGAAGTTGAACATGCGACCTTTCCCGTATATTTATTCTATACTGAGTGAATATAGCCTTATTTGATCTACCTGGGGATATAAATTCGACGAATATTGTGAAATAAAAGTATAAATTTAAAATCTTTACTAGAGATGTCTAAACATTGGGAGGTATTTCACCAAGTTATCACAGAGGTTAAGGATACTAAGGTACAGTTACACGCCAATCTCCCCCTACCGTCCGTCCTATATGCGTACATGTAAATATGCACTTTACTGATTAACACATTAAAATATATACAGGTTTGGTTGAAGACCAGAGCGTACTTTTTATTTACAGTTTTATTATTGTTTTTTTTCGATAAGCCGACCGAAATTTCTAGCTGGAGCTTGAAGATCGAAAAGCAGATTACCGAATGACATTTTATTGCAGTGCGACGTTTCGAATATATCCATATTCATTATCAAGCAAGTGAAGAGTTATCACAACGCTTAAATAAAGACCATGAATATGGTCTTCAACCAAACCTGTATGAATGAAGAACTTCTGCCTAACTACACTAAAATATATACCTGTATTTTCATGGTGAAGTGAGAGGGAGCGCTGAGTCGGTGGTCGGAGAGGAGCAGGTGTTGTCGTCGCCGCGGTTCGCTGGCTAGTGCCCAGAGAGGGCAGATGCGCTCCTTATATACCCTGCGGTGACCCCAGCGCTGCGCCTGACCTCGCTTGTCTCCCACACGATATTTTCAATGCAAATAAAGGAGTGAATGAGAATAGTTCATTCAACAGATATGTATGGTGAATAATATTACGAACAATATGAATTTATAACATACAAATTGACAGTTTACATCTTTACTGACTATTGTATGAAATGAAACAGAATTTATCCGAACAGATCTCTATGGTATATTATAATACGAACAATATGAATTTATAACGTATAAATGGACATTTTACATCATTAGAGACTAATATATGAAATAGAACAGAATTTATACTGGTTTTATGTGGAAAATTTTTTGTGTGGTGTACATAATAAAAAGTTTTCATGGTGGATATAAAGATGTTTATATTAGGCAGATTTAGATGAATTTTATGTATAATGTATATCGATGAATGTATGAATTATGTATTTATTCGTGAAGGATATCAAAGTAATTATGCGTGATGAATATCAAAGATTTTATGCATGGCAAATACAAATGAATATTACGTTACCTATACCAGTCGTGATTATAATAATAATGTATGAATCAATTAGTGAATTTGCTAAAATTCGTAATTAAGAAGTCGTTAATTAAGAACTTCGTTAAGAATGAATTGGTGAATTTGTTAAAATTTGTTAATTAAGAATTTCGTTTTGAATCAATTAGTGAATTTGTTAAAATTCGTTAATTAAGTGCTAATCCCTTAAGTTGTGACCCGAGAGTCGAGGATGACAAGCAAGACGCACTTGATGAAGATTGCAAGCTAAGATTACAAAACTGTAGAGCTAGGTGCTGTTTAATAGTACTTAATATACATATAATATTATATCATTACATTAATAATATAGAATTTTTCCAATTTTCATCAAATTATTATATTATTATATTTATTAATGTTTGGTTGTACTATTATTAATAATATTATAGCAATTATATTGAAATATATTATTATTATATTTTCATCAAATTTTCAATTTTCATCAAATAAGTGGGGTACGAACGATGGTTCTAATTTCAGATGAAAGGTTCTGGCATAATGAATATATAAGCTCTACAATCATTGCACATCAGTTCTCACAGCCTACCTCCATGAATGCAGGATAAGTTCGGCTACGTAGATAGCTGGTACCCTGATCCCTGGTAGCCGTGGTGCCAGCTGGCCCAAAAAACAGCACATTGACGGAACACGTCCAACGTTTCATCCGGGACCCGAGGGCGGGGAGACTTGCTTATTGAAGACTTGGGGACGGAGGACGACGAAGGCGTAGCATCAGCGTGACCGTGGAATACAAAGTCCTAAACTCATCATCAGGTCATAAGGTAGTGTCCCATGCCGACTAGACTTCCATATACCAAGTCCAGAAGTTCCGAAAACCCAAATCAACATCGCACAGACACCAGCTATTGTACTATCTAGTCAGAAATTGCCGCAGTCGGGGAGCTAGTCACGGGTGAACATGTCTGCCCCATACGTTCATAACCAGCGCAGCTACAGAGCAAAAATATGGCAGGCATGTCCAAGCCACCGCAATATTTGCGCATGACTGCGAGAAAATGACCATGGCCATCGCCGTTTCTGGCCGAATCGTCCGCGAGAAAACGACCGTGGCCACCACCGTTCCCGACCGAATCGTCCGCGAGAAAACCACTGAGGCCACCGCCGTTCCCAGCCGAATCGTTCGCGAGAAAACGACCGTGGCCACCGCCGTTCCAGTAGCCGTCGCCGTTCCCGGCCGAATCGTCCGCGAGAAAACAACCGTGGCCGACGCCGTTCCCGGCCGAATCGTCCGCGAGAAAACGACCGTGGCCGTCGCTGTTCCCGGCCGAATCTTCCGCAAACTTTGAGCATGTGACTTGAGTTCGTCGGTGCCGGCCTATATAATTCGACTTGTTAGCGATGGTGCCTGCGCCGAACGGTCTTGGGTCACTGCAAGAATTTTGAACTGGGGCAATGTCGTCCATCTCGGCAAATTCTTTAATGAATTTCAGTATCCTCAAGTTAGCCGCCGCAATAATTCGATTGCTCCGTAATTGTCTATTTCTCCTACAGATGCTTTAGGCCACATAAACAGAAATACTAGTTCTCCAATGTCTCATAGAGATGCTTTAGAAATGTTTCTTTAGCAGAAATAAGATGAGTTTGGCGAGAGCCATATTGTAAAGAAGAAGTGAAAATGTCGCAAGTAAGGTTTGAGTGATAACGGTCACCTGTGCACTTAATAGGAAAATGTTAAGAATGAACTATTAATTAATAATTTTAACGATGCCGGGACATGGACATCGTTAAAAAATATCTTTCCAGTCGTTTCTAAAAAAATCAGAACGTAAAGCTACGAAACTGCATGGTGCGTGTGACCCAATAATTATGAATTTTTAGCACCTATTAATTAATACGCAAATAAAAATGGGAAGTTCCGTCAGAAATTCTTGAAAGAACTACTCTAGTTTTCTAGATTGATAAGTGAAAGTAGGAAACCATTAGTTTTCCTTCAAATAATGAATTTTATACGCGGTGGATATTAAATAAATTATACGAGATGGGTTTCTATGAACTTATTGGATATTAAAAAATTAGTAAGTGGAGGATGTCAATAAAATTTTTACATAAAAACAATTTCAGTATTACTCATATTTATCATCGCAGACCACTGGTCATTAGGGCTTTTGTCCATCACCGAACATTATTAGCCATTCACTATACATTTAATTTCGTTGAACGTCTAGAAGAAATATTATTTGAAATGTTAAGTAAATAAGCCAAATTTAGGTAAAACTCAGTTATTTGGAAATTTAAATAAATTTTCCTCAGTTTATGTATTCGCCACAAAATAGTCTGCTGGGAACCGGTGCTGTAGTCTTCTAGTGTCTTCTCCTTTGCTCATTCTTGTCTTAAATTTGTCTTTTCTTGCTTTTTCATGTTTATTTTTTCTCATCTTCATTTGATTTTGTTAATTTTCAATTATTATTTAGTTGCTTTCTTATGCCATCGATTTGTTTGTGCTTGCATTCGTTCGTTATCCATCGTTGTTTGCAGCTTTCTTCTGTCTTCTTTTTGTGTATGCCTGCTCTATTTTTACATTTATCTATCTCTGTTTGTTTTTCTTCAAATTATCTCTGTTAGCTTTCTATGTATTCTCTCTTCTTGTATTAGGCATTTCACGCTAACTCAAGCCTTCGATTTTGCAATTATTTGTTGCTGTTTTTCTGCATTTGAATTCTGATTTAAATTATACCGCTCGATGTGCGGCTCGGCCAGAATACAACTATCAGACCACAACTGCCAGACCAACACTACCAGACCGCAACCACAAGACCACAACTAACAGACCGCAACAGACACACAGCAAACACTAAACCACAACGAAAAAACAACAACCACCATACCGCAACCACTAGACCACAAATACCAGATCGCAACCACAAGACTACATTTACCAAACCGCAACCACTAGACCACAACTAACGAACCATAACCGCCAGACCGCAACCACTAGACCACAAATACCAGACCGCAACCACAAGACCACGACTACCAGCCGAAACCACTAGACCACAACTGCAAGACCACAACTAACAAACCATCACAACCCAACCACCACCTTCACTATCTCCTCACGACCATAATGCTGCATGCATGACCTCGCGACCTCACAAGAAAATACGACCCCTTTGTCCTTTCTGTTCTTACATTCCATTCAATTGTGTGGAGGCGAATACAAATACATATTCATAAGGAGTTAATTTATGCATAACTTATCCTGTTAAAAACTTGCTCTAATGTTGCCGTGCTCATCAGTCAGTAATGTAGTTCGAATTTGAGCCGCTTCTTATTCAGCGGTATTTGCAATCGGCAAATTATAGTCCGAGGCCAACAGCAATCGTTATGGAGGCGGAATAAAATACTTCTGACAAAATAAAGTTTTTATAGACAATGTTCACACGGCAGTAACATATGAGTATCATAAATATGAATGAAAATTAAATTTGTCTAAATAACGGAGTCGATTTGGTCGCTCGATGGAACCCCAGAGGGCATCGATTGTTTGGTAGCGGCAACACCTCTCGCCTCCTCCGGGATGTCGAGTGGATGCACTAGATCTTATATCCTGCAAGCTGTGTTGGATGTATCAAACTACCCATCACGTACAGGAAAATGTTGCGGGTGATTTGTGCTCGGGCACAGGACCCGTCGGCCTTCCGAGCCTGACCTTCGGGACATCCGCCACCGATAGCCAGGCCGCCGCCGGAGGAGAACCCGCCGCCGGAGGAGAACCCGCCGCCGGAGGAGAACCCACCGCCGGAGGAGAACCCACCGCCTGAGGAGAACCCGCCACCGGAGGAGAACCCACCACCGCCGTGGGAGAACCCACCGCCGGAGATTCCACCACCGGCAGGAACGGGTGCGGTGTAGCCCTGGGGTTTCGCCTGGGTTGTCACCAGGACAACGGCGAGGACCGCCAACTGAAGGGGGGAGACAGACACGATCTGATTAATTCCATTCAATGTGGAATATATTCGATTCCTTATAATTAAAGTTAATTTTAAATTTTAATCAGTTTCGATAAATTGTGGAGAAAATATGAGTGCAAATTTCGCTCGCGTTGTGATTCGAACGCAAGAATCAGTCAGAATTCGGTTAACGACTCGAACTGGACACGCGGTATACCACTCGACCACACATTTCTTGTGTCTTCTTATCACTACACAATCGAATGAAATAGGATCTTATTAAGTAGAAAAATTAACTAAATCCATAGAACATGAATAAATTTCATGATTGGTGAGCCATAGGTCAACACATACCAACAAAGTCTTCCGCTTTAAATATCACCATCTCTGTTTATAATTTTCTAAATTTGGAAACGAAATTACGGAGTAAATGTAATCAAATGGAGTTAGATTTATTGTTCTTCGGACTTCCTTTGGTATTTAACATTAAAAAAATTTTGGATAATATATCTTACTTTAAATA